AACTCCTGTTTGGACACCCTGCCAACACAAACTAACCTTCTACAATGGGGAAAATCTGCATCAGATCTCTGTAAACTATGTCAACAGGCAGGCGCTAAATTGCAAGGTAGAAGACAAGAAACTACAAACCATATTTTGAATGGCTGCAAGGTTGCACTACATCAAAAAAGATATACTTGGAGGCACAACATTAAATATATAACTCGATTAATTGATATTGACCGATTTCTGATGTATGCCGACATCCCGTCCCATACCCTTCCTGGGGGGGGGTTCTGTTCCCCCCCCACCTCCTTTCGACCGCAGAGAAACCAGATCTAGTAATTATCAATAGAATGGAGGAAAAGATGGACAATTTTGAGCTTACTGTCCCATTGGAAACAAATATCAAAAATGCCAACGCTCAAAAGATGAACAAGTATGAACAATTTATCACAGATATAACAACTAGGGATGTGTCTGTGCATCCTTTTGAAATCGGCTCAAGAGGATATATCTCACCATCAAATAAGGCGATTCTAAAGAAACTGCATAAATTCTGCAAACCCAGTGTTAGTTTCAAAGCAATGTGTGAAAATCTATCAAGCCTTGCAGTATTGTCTTCATACCACATTTTTAGAAAACGAAAAACACTAGACTGGGACCAAGAAACCTCTTTTCTGAAAACCACCTCTGAATAGCTAAACTATACTCATGCTAAAAGTCTTGTATTGCACCTGTTTTTTTTTGGCAAATCCTGTCAATTTTAAAATGCGATATCGAGAGAAAAGAGTATTAGTTTGTAAACTTTTATATTGTTTAATGTAATTTTGCTTTAGACAAATATAAATGATGAATAATACAAACTACACAAGGAGTCGTCTTCCTTATATTTTGAATTTGTTTTAACAAGTCTAGTCTTAGTTGGAGTTTTTTTTTTATCGATTCGTTAACTTTTGAACTTTGAAAAGATTCCACGAAAAAAAACTTTCCAAATGACAAATGTTGACCCTGAAAGAAAGTATATACCAAAAAATGGTATTAAATAGATCGGTTTTTGGTTTGTTTTTCCGTTATATTTTCCATTATGTTTTCCATTATATTTTCCTTTATATTTTCCGTTATATTTTCCGTTATATTTTCCTTATATTTTCCATTATGTTTTCCATTATATTTTCCTTTATATTTTCCGTTATATTTTCCGTTATATTTTCCATTATGTTTTCCATTATATTTTCCTTTATATTTTCCGTTATATTTTTCGTTATATTTTCCTTTATATTTTCCGTTATATTTCCATTATATTTTCCTTTATATTTTACGTTATATTTTCCGTTATTCTCCTTGGATAAATTGCAAAGTTTAATAAAAGCAAACGTTTTTAAAAACGTTTTTAAAAACGAACCAAAACAATTGACAACCGTTCCCGTAGCGCAAGCTAAACGAACACCAGTTATTTCATGATATTTTATTCACTCCGAATAAAGTGTGATGTTCACTTTAAAGGGATTGTTTAACACTGGAATACCAATAATATGAATTACTTGACCGACTATTTAAGGATTCAAGAGGAGAAGTACAAACGGCTCTTGGGAATATCTTTGACAATTTGCCTTTCACGTTTTATAATAACAATTTGCTTCAAAGACGTTTGCTCTATTGCCTTTAGTTCTATCAGCATTTCATCTAAGGCTTTGAAGCTAATTTTTGTTTGTTTTGCTAAAAAAACGCGCAATCTTAAACAATCTGTAATCTGCTTTATATATGAAAAAATGTGTATCAAAACAAAACAAAACTCAATGGGTGCCATTTCATACGAGTATGCAAGGGCGTATACAAGGGGGAAAGGGGGGCAGAGCCCCCCCCCAGAACTCAGAGCTTCCACACTTTTCACATCTTAAACTCAAGAGTGAAGAACATAAAAATATTTTGCTGTTCATTTAGTGCACTAAGAAGATTGTATACGTAGACCAGAGCCACCGTGACAGAAGTCCGAATGAAAAGTCTATTTAGAATTCACATTCATCCTAATCGGATAGGCACTATCAGGGGTAGCGAAGTAAAACAATTATTTTTAAATGCCAAGCCAAGAAGGCTTGAGTTTGGAGGTAGTAAAAGACCATTTTTGTTTTTTTAATTTGGATTTAATTTACTTTATTCATTGCACCGCCGTTTTGTAATCTATCCTTTTAATACAAACTAGCTGAAGTGACAGGCGTTGCCCCTGGAATTTTGAAAATCGAATTAAAACAAAAAAATGTATTTAGCTTATGTCATCCCCAAGGGTATGGCCATGAGTTTTCTCACTAAAATTCAGCCCATTTGATTCAGCCGTTTGGTCAGCCATAGCAAGCAAACAAATAAATGAACGAAGAGCTTCATTATACAGATTAAAATTGTACTCCTACTTTTTTTCAAAACAGAAACTTTTATTATTTCTAGTTTAAATACTAATTATTACCAATATAACAGTATAATAAAATGTCGATTTTTCAGAAACAATGCTTTTTTCTGCTAGTTCTGTTTGAAGGAAAGATAAACTATAGTACACGCAAGGTAATTGGATTGTATGTGTACCTTTAAAGTATTTTATATTTATGCCTGATATCCAAGAAGCCAAATGTTTAGAATTTACAGTTCAAATTTTGCCCCCCCCCCCCTAGGAGCTTCTGGCGGGAGGGGGCAAAAAAATTTCGATTCGCGCAAATTTCGCCCCCTGCCATTTAATTATTTCTGTATACGCCCTTGCGAGTATGTACAAAAATACTCTTTCCAGCAATTCTTTTCAGGTTTTCTCTAGGTCCAGTAAATGTTAAAAATATGGAGAAGCTGTATAATGTTTATATTTATGTAGTTGCCTACTTTATACAGCTACTAAACTTAAATATCCTGGCTCTAATAAAGTCAAACAGGGTGAAACCAGACAATTAAGGAAAACCTAACATATCAGTTTTCCCTAAATAGTCATTACGAATATAAATGACCTTCAATTTTTTTCATGCATTAGCTATCATTAACCCGTAAAAAATAGTTTGAAATATACATTAAATATTATTAATTTTTTGTTTACATTTTTAGTTTCCCAATTAGTTGGAAAACGGAAGAGTTTACGAAACTAAACTTTTTTATGACAAAATTAGGAAATTATAAATCTGAAGAAAATGTAAACTATATGAAAATGGTTATGTTGATGGTTGCAAGCTCTCATGAAAAGATCAATGAGTAATTAAAAAATGAATATATCCAGGGCTGTAAAATGGTATAGATGAGCTAGCGTAGGGTAAAATCACGTTAAAGAAGAGTCAGTTATGAAAATTGATGCAACTTTTCAAAATCCATTTGTAGGTGTCATGGAGTTTCAAATAAAACTTTGGGGGCTCAAATGAAAAGATTGACGTCCCCGATGATAAACTTGTGTCTCCGATGATAAGCTTGGTGTATCAAAGGAAAATCTGGGGTCTGCAATGATGATTTCATCCCGGAGTTTTAGAAACTGCAAAAGAAAAATTAATTTTCCGAAGAAAAACAAGAATATCAACATCATTTTTCTTTATAAAAAGGTTTAAAATAACCGTAGATTGTACATTTTACATATTTAAGTGAGTGGTAAATATTTTCTTTACAAAATATAAAACCATAGATTAATAAAAATATAAAAAGAATAATAGATGTCGTCTTTTCAAGATTTAGAGGTTTTTCGTTTACAATAACCCTGAGGTAGAAGCCGTAAGGAATTCTGCGCAGGCGGTGTTGAATTAGAACTTTAGAAGACAGAGAGAGATCATGTGCCTCTGCCTCAGGGTTATAGTGAACGATAAACCCCTAAAGACGACATCAAGTGTTCTATCTGTATTTGTTAATAAATCTATATGTCTAAACCTTTCTTTTAATTATGATCTATTTCTTTGAAATACTTTAAAAAAATAGTTGTTTTTACAAACTTTGTGTAAATAAATATATTTTGCTATGTTCCTGCTTCAACCATGTTTTCCATTACTTCAAAGAAAATATAAATTGAGGTGTGTGAATAGTTCAGTTTTTAACCAATTCAATTTCTTTTATATTTTGCCGTGTTAGAGCTCTTAGTTGTCAAGTACACTGGACAACTTTTAATCCTTTACTGCAGAAAGGAATTTAACTTTTCACTTCAATCAAATAGATAAGACTGGATTGTAGGAATATATGTAAGAAAGTCACAAGATAAATTCGGGAAACAAACTGGAAATAAAAACTTAGGGAAAAGTTCTAATTTTCTCAAATCCGAGAAAAAATATAGCAGGAAATAAAGTTTTTTTTTTTAGTTCTGAATGTTTTGCATATTCAACGGTCAACTTATCAAAAACATATCTTAACTCTAAGCTCGATGGTTTTGTAGTTTTTATCTCATTTAATTTTAATATTCTGAGGTATTTTTGATTTTTTTGTATCTTCTTTCATCTTACAGAATTTAGAGTGTACTGTCTGTTTCTAGATCAACCCTACAGATTTTAGTGTACTGTTAGTTAATCCTGTAGATTTTAGTGTGCTGTATCTCGGTTAATCCTACGAATGTATTTCTGTTGATCCTACAGATTTTAGTGTATTGTATCTCAGTTAATCCTGTAGATTTTAGTGTACTGTATCCAGTTAATCCTGCAGATTTTAGTGTTCTGTATCTTGGTGAATTCTGCAGATTTTAGTATACTGTAGCTTATTTAATCCTGTAGATTTTAGTATGCTGTATTCAGTTAATCCTATCCTGTAGATTTTAGTATGCTGTATCCAGTTAATCCTATCCTGTAGATTTTAGTATGCTGTATCCAGTTAATCCTATCCTGTAGATTTTAGTATGCTGTATCCAGTTAATCCTATCCTACAGATTTTAGTATGCTGTATCCCAGGTTAATCCTACAAAAGAGTTTCTGTATATCCGTGTTGTTTAAACTAGAACTAGAAAGGCTGGAAACCATGGATAGTATTGTAAGCCTAGATCGTAAGCTCAAGCTGAAAGCAGACCAAATAAACAGTATACACGTACACTTCACTCAATCAATCATTTATCTATGTGAAAGCATAGCTGACTTTTTCTGGTGGTGTTCTATTGTCGGCTAGATAAACAAAAATGTTTTTAAAAATTTTAGAAAAGTTTACAAAATGTCAAATTGTAGCTTACAGGTATAAATATTATCTTCACAACTTTTTATTGTTTTTTGGTAAGAAGTTGTTATCTAAAGTTTCAAGAAATTCTTTTTTATATTTTATGAGTTTTTAATTCGCTTTAAAAAATAGATTTAAAATTTTTCCCTATCAACGAAACCATTTTTGTGGATTTTGATTTGTTTGAATTGATTAAAAGTGGATTAATTTCATTCATTTAATATTTTCTATAGATTTCTTGAGTTAACACGTTACGTTCAGAGAAAAATGTTAAAATCCTTACTTTGAATCTATATTCTCTCTTAATAAAAATGTTTGACAATTTTTGTTTTAAATCCGCGAAAACGTTGCCAGAAACTTTGTTTAATTGTAATCCTAACAATTCAAAAGTTAAAGTTTAACTATGAATGTCTATTTCTCAAAAAGGGGAATAATTCCATAAATTTATATTTTTTTCTAGTTTAACGGTACTGCTAGGACTTGTACTTCTTAACCTTTGGCAGGCCCAGAATTTAAGGTAATCAAAATTTTATTTTGTAAAGAATTGCAAAATTTGTGACTTTACGCTAAAGGAATTGAGTCTTTGCCACAAACTCAAATTTTCTAATCCCTATGTCTATGGAACCTGATGATGTAGACTTTTGATATTTCAAACTAAGATAATTTGATGCAACATAATTCAAAGTTTGAAATATCTAAGGTATACGACATTGGGTTGCAGAGATTGCAGAGGTATTAGAAAATCCGAGTTTGTGTCAAAGACTCAACTCCTTTCTAGTTAGATTGAAATCTTACATGTTTTAATCTGATTTTTCTCTTATTAATGAATTATTAAAAAATGTTTCGAATTTCTAGTATAAATTAAATAAATTTGCTTTTCTTATATTTATCTCATATTTACATGGCGTAAAATGAATACTAGAGGACCTGCAAGAAAGATGTACCAGTAATGTCACTAAAATTTGATATTTACCCTCTGTCTAGCGTGGGAAAGGAGGAAAAATATGATGGATACAGCCGCTCATTTTAAAAGAGTTAATAAATTTGATAGATATCTAAATTTTAATTTTAAATCTGCCCTAGTTTATAGGTTTTAATTGAGGAAGGGCTCGCTTAAGTAAAATTTTGGCGTTTGATGCTTGTGTTTGGCGCAAAACTGTGTCTAATTTTTGAAAACTTATCTGTTCACTTTAAACAATGAAATCGTTTTCTAAAACAGACCCAATTAATTTTTGAACAATAATGAAAGAAAAAAAATATTATAATAAACGGTGAATAAGGATCTACAGACTCGTTTGTAATTGGATTTTCAAGATTGAGACCATTTTTAAAAATTACGTACAATTTCCAATTCAATGAGTTAATTCTTTTTAGGCTTGTATATCTTAAAATAACAATTTAATAGGCTTCTAAAGTTTCCAACGCCTCATTCACTTTACGAACTTGAGGTCAACATCGGGAGAGAAACAGCTTCGTGGACCCTGCTGTCTCCCAAAAGGATATTTTTGAAGTTAGATTAAAGGGACTGTAAAGGAAAAATAAAAGGGTGTATAGAATGAAACCTGAGAATCTCAGGTTTTTAACGATACCTATAAGACATTTATCTTATGTTCCTGTCTCGAGAAATGGACATAACACTGTATCAAAATTAAACCAAAACGGGCATATAAAAGTTGTAGTATTAAATAGATCATATTCAACAATTACGCAACCAATCTGAAAACGACTATATCTCACAGCAACCTGAAAATCTCAGGTTTGCTCCTGTTATATTTATTTAATTTTTATTTTGCATTTTTATAGATATAATTGATAACATTATTACATTTAGTTAGTTTAGTCCGTATTACGTCACCAGTACTTCACCCAATGGCAGTGCAGTATGCTGGTCACGTGATTTCCGTCTGTACCACGTGACAACGATACTGCACTGTCTTTGGCTGAAGTTATTGTGACGTAATACAGACTATACGGACTATATGTAATAATATTATCAATTATATCTATTAAAAATGCAAAATGCAAAATAAAAAATTATAATATGAGAAAACCTGAGATTATTAGGCTCCTGTGGGATATAATCGTTTTCAGATTGGTTGCGTAATTGTCGAATATGATCTGTTTAGTGCTACAACTTTTATACAAAATCTGGCATATACCCGTTTTGGTATAATTTTGACACAGTTTTATGTCAATTTCTCGTGACAGGAACATAAGATAGATGTCTTATAGATATCGTTCAAAACCTGAGATTCTCAGGTTTCATCCTATACCCCCTTTCATTTTTCCTTTACAGTCCCTTTAAAGGCGCAAAAGTGTCTTGCTGCTAATGGTGGACATTTTGAATAAGAAATTGTTATAAACAGTAAACTAAACTCTAATAAACTGTTGCATGTAACCTTACATTAAATACAAAATTGTGCAAACGGAGATTATCTTTCACTTTTAACTCGCTCCAGTTGAAAACTTTAGGAGCCTATAAAACTATAATCCGATTACAAGTCTGTAGACCATTCTACAAAATTGTGCAAACGGAGAATATCTTTTTGTTACCAAAGTTACTCACTCCAGTTGAAAGCTTTAAAATTTTCATATTTTGATATACAAGCCTAAAATTGAACTTAATGAATCGGAAATTGTACTTAAAATTAAAAAATGGTCTCAATTTTGAAAATCCGATTACAAACGAGTCAGGCCAACGACTGAAAGGTATGAGATTGTTATAAATTTAGCCCTCTAATAACCATGAAACTATTTACTGTTTTAGTAAAATAATACAATATTCAAATCACTATGATAATCAATCTTTTTTTAGATCAAGAGTATCCTTTTCTCCAGTAGGAATGTTTTGCATATAAATTGAGAACCAGACAACCGGGGAAATGAATGTCGTCTTTGTTAGTTCTACTGAAGAAATTTCGTCAGGGATTTTATATAGTTGGTATTTGTTGACATTTTCTGATTAAGAGAAAAAAGAAATTCCACTGTTTTTTGGTTCCTACTGTATCTACACAATACATAACGTAGTAAACTCTGTTTGTTTGTTTGTATGTCCGTCGGTCCGATTATAACTCATGAACCCCTTAACCGATTTGCTTCAATTTGTTAGAACAACGACGGTAGCGCGCGGGGTTTCATATATTGAAATCTAGCCCAAATCTAGGGAAAACTGGGTTTCGAAACTAGTTTAAATAGTTCTCTAAATTACACAATAAGGGAGAGAAAATACTTCCTTAGTTAAGGTCAATTCTTTTTTCTCTAATCAAAAAGTTTTGGCTCAGTATTTCAATTTGTTTTTCTAAGTAAATAAACGTCATCATAAAAACATAAAGTTGTTAACGTAGTTAATTACAAGATTAATTAAAGGGACTGTAAGCATAATTTTAATAGACCCTCAATGTTATGATGGCCACGCCTGATTAGTAACTATTCACTTAAAAGCTTTGTCCAAAAATCGTTCTCTAGGAAACGACAAGTTCTTCCACAATAAACATTGTGAATCAGATAAAAGATTCAAGGAACCATTGTGAATCAGATAAAAGATTCAAGGTACCATTGTGAATCAGATAAAAGATTCAAGGTACCATTGTGAATCAGATAAAAGATTCAAGGAACCATTGTGAATCAGATAAAAGATTCAAGGAACCATTGTGAATCAGATAAAAGATTCAAGGTACCATTGTGAATCAGATAAAAGATTCAAGGTACCATTGAGAATCAGATAAAAGATTCAAGGTACCATTGTGAATCAGATAAAAGATTCAAGGTACCTTTTTGATTCAGATAAAAGATTCAAGGAACCATTGTGAATCAGATAAAAGATTCAAGGTACCATTGTGAATCGGCACTGTCATCGAAGTTTCCCTATAAGTAAAGTTTCAAAATAAAGATTCTAAACATTTGTCCCTCTGTTAAAGTCGATCTTGAGATCTCAACAGCTGATGAAGTAAGGAGAAAGAAGAGTAAAGGTATTAAAAACCTGAATTGGAGTTGTATTTTTGTTGGATTTTGTAATGCTGAGATAATAAAATTTGGGAAACTTTTTTCGGGAAAATTTTTTTTTTCGAAAAAATAAGACCGGGAAACTGTTTATTTTATCGTCTTTTGTTGTTTATAACAATGCTAATTCTTTATGTGCCCTCTAACAAGTTGTTTATTTACAAGTTTATCGATTAATACCTAAAAGGTTATATTTAATATAGTAGACCTATGTTGACAATATCGTTGATATTAAAACAGTTTTACTGACGTCATTATCGAAAACCACTTGAACGATAATTGAAATACGTTAATACGATATCAAATTATTAATCATGTTATATAGCTGCAGCACTTAAGTCTGAGATCATTTTATATAAAAAGTGAATATATTGAGTTTAAGCGTACACTAGGAATTGAATTTAATTTATCAAAGGGGTAATACGGTTTCATTTTGGCTACTCATAGTATATATACACTATACAGGGTGTCTCAAATCATATTAGATCGTTTTAGCTCTAAATTCAGATTAAATGGGGACTGATTAGAACATTTAAAAAAGAGTAAAACGTTTTTAAAAATGCATAAGGCTAATATATAAACTTTCTTGCAGGTTTTTCGAGTATTATATGCGTATTTTGGCGTTAAAGCTTGAATATAATCAATTTGATATGGGACGCTATGTATAATCTTAGATGATAAATAAATATTACTGATGATACACATATATATGAACTTAAGAATGATAAATAAATATTACTGATGGTACACATATATATGAACTTAAGAATGATGAATAAATATTACTGATGGTACACATATATATGAACTTAAGAATGATAAATAAATATTACTGATGATACACATATATATGAACTTAAGAATGATAAATAAATATCTATAAAAGAATAAATGAATAACACAAAACTGCAGATGAATAATATATTCTTTAGAAAACAAATAATGCCGAGTCTTGAGGTAGATAAAATGTTTTGTCAGCATTTTACAACTTTTTAGATATTTATATTTTCTATATCTCAGCCTTGTGTTTTCCTGTTTACGTTTCCTTATTACTCTCTTAGTTTTATATATTTCACTCTCCTATTTTCCTATACTGCACTCTCCTATTTTCCTATATACTGCACTCTCCTATTTTCCTATATACTGCACTCTCCTATTCTCATGTACTGCACTCTCCTAAATCCTATATTCTGCACTCTCCTATTTTCCTATACTGCACTCTCCTATTTTCCTATATACTGCACTCTCCTATTTTCCTATACTGCACTCTCCTTTTTTCCTATACTGCACTCTCCTATTTTCCTATATACTGCACTCTCCTATTTTCCTATACAGTACTCTCCTATTTGTTATATTGCACTCTCCTGTAATACAGCAATCTCTTATTTTCCTGTACAGTGCTCTCCTATTACTTATACTTCACTCTCCTATTTCCCATATACTGCAGCCTCCTATTTTTATATCGTAGTTTTATATTTTTTGTGTTTCACTTTCCATTTTTTCTATTATCTATTTAACTTTCCAATTTTTTCTTTATCTATTTCACTTTCCTTTTTTCCTTTATCTATTTTACTTTTCTTTTTTTCCTTTATCTATTTCACTTTCTTTTTTTCTTTTATCTATTTCACTCTTCTATTTTTCAATTTTCTATTTCGAGTGCTTTCATATTCAGATTTTTCTCTTTTTGATTCCCGTATTTCTATTTCTATTTCTTTAAACCGGCAATATTTTCAGATGATGCCATAGCTTTAAAGACTCTAGATGTAAGAAAGGAGAACTTTGATCTGGTTCATAAAGTGAAATATCTAGGGACATTTTTATATCAAATTATATTCAATAAAAGGAAAAGTACAAAAACACGCTCCCGAGTGTTTAATTATTTTGAACACTAAAAAATGATTATTTACAACTACTTTGATGGAAAGTTAAGGGAATTTTACTTTACCAAGGTTCCCCAGACCAATTTTGCCTTCAAAATATCCAAAACGCAGCGAGGGATGTTTTGTAGTCAAAATTGGTCGAGGGAACCCGAGGTTCAGTAAATTTTTAAATTTCCCGAAAAAGTAGTTGCACAAAATTTTATCGTCTTTTAAGATAAAAATGCGCAAATTTTTTCCAGAAAACTTCGGAGAGGGGTGGTTATTTTACATAATAATACCAGGGGACGTTAAGTAACTTAACCTCGCTCTGTTGGGGAAATCATAAGTCTGTAATGTTGGTCAAAAGCCGGTTAAACATAAAATCCGTTCTAGATATTTGATATTCGTGTTGTATTGTATAGAACGGAAAATCAACTCCCTCAAGATAGAACTAGAGGCAAGGGATGAAAGATTAAAAACTTTACGTAAATATCATTTTGAAATAACTAAAATAATAATTATAATCATAATAATCTGCATTATCTTAATCATAATTATAAAAATGATAATAGCAATAACAAGGATAATAATATCATTAATATTAATATTAATANGTTACTTTCGTGTCGGTCATGATGCTCGGATGTATCACTTAATGTTCAAAGTTCAAGAAAATCACTAAACTGGATAGCGTTTAACTGTATGTTCAAAGTCAGGGGTCACCAATATAGAGGACGTGAGTCAGACTCTAATAAAACGCATAAATAACTTCCAGTATATATATTTCTTATAACTTATTACTAGAGGGTTCAGAACTAGAGTCAATATCGATATCGCACGTGTAGACTGTAGAGATGATATCAGTACTAATGCCCCGTATCCGTTCTATCTCATTCTGTTGAATCTTGTGGAACTAGTTTAACGCGGCCAGGCATCGTCTTCCACAATATTGTGCCAAGTAAGCAGAAATAAATCCGAAATGTGCTCGCCAAAGTTCTAAGGAATAAATCTCTTTATTCTTTTTTCTTATCAATGACATTATTGGTTTAATATCAATACTAATCTTATTTTCTAAAAAAATGATATAAATTACTCTATTATTTTGATTATTATAGTTGTATGGATTGTTGCTCCTAGTTTATCTAAATAATAAAACTAATTTAATTATATTTATTTACATGTTGGCTTTAGCTGGACAAACAGCTGGACCACTTTGGCGGACATTTTTTGAGGGAAAACATGGTTACCCCAGGGGTGACAAATGTTATGAAAATTCCACGGGAAACGCCGAGCACATCAGCTACTTTTTTTATTCAATATTAAACTGAACAAATTTTATATTTAAGATGCTGAAGTTGAAAAACTACGTGAACAGTGTACTGCAATTCTTTACAATAACACAGGTTAAAATGTACTGCAATTCTTTACAATAACACAGGTTTAAAGTGTACTGCAATTCTTTACAATAATACAGGTTTAAAGTATACTGCAATTCTTTACAATAACACATGTTTTAAGTGTACTGCAATTCTTTACAATAACACAGGTTTACAGTGTACTGCAATTCTTTACAATTTAACACTAAAGTGTACTGCAATTCTTTACAATAACACAGGTTTAAAGTGTATTGCAATTCTTTACAATAATACAGGTTTAAAGTATACTGCAATTCTTTACAATAACACATGTTTTAAGTGTACTGCAATTCTTTACAATAACACAGGTTTACAATGTACTGAAATTTTTTACAATTTAACACAGGTTAAAGTGTACTGCAATTCTTTACAATGACATAGGTTTAAACTATTGTCAAAGTGATACTTTGGTGCGATTTACAGAGGCTTTATATTGATAATAAACGCTAATTCAAGTGACCCCAGAATTAAAATGACGATACACAACTGTACCCTTGAAACACATATCTAAGTTGCACTGAAGCTCTTTAGCCTTTTAAACACCGCTGTACTGACTAAAAAGTTTATTGCACAATAAACGGGGTCGTCGATGAAACATTTTACTCTAAAAAGCCGGTTTAAACTTCAAAAGTAGCTCGAATATTCGGAAATGTGCTCGGTCTCTTACATAAAGATTTTTCAAAGCAAAAAAAACAAATATATATATTTTATATTCTTGATAAATATATTTGATGTTACAGTTAACAACAATAACATATAAATAGAAACATAAAAGAAAAATGAATCAAAAAAGTTTCAATTTTATTTTGAAAACAGCATTTTAGAGCAAAATGTTTCATCAACGACCCACCTTTTAACGGGCATTGTACCGCTACGAACACTTTTTAGTACAATAAAGTTATGTTTAGATGGCTAGAAAGCTTTAACACATTTTTTTCAGAGACACCCTGTTGCAAAAGTAATAAATAGCAAAAATGTCGCAACTTCAAATATTTACATTACACAACCCTGAAAACAAGTAAACAGTCAATAACCTCATCATTATTTCAGGGGTTGATGGTTCTAATGCAACTTCAACTACTAATATAACTGCTGCTTCTACTACTACAACTTCTACTATTGCATCTATAACAACTGTAGAATCTGTAAACATAACGCAAGAGGAATCTAGACAGGCCAGAAAAATTGAAGAAAATTTAAACGAAGAAAACATTAATAATGATGAAGATCTAAATCCAAACATTGTTAAAGATCAAGAGGACATGATTTATGACAAGAAAGAGAAGAAAGATGAAAATAACGATAATTTAGAATTAGAGTATTTAAAATCTGTAGAAGCTGATACAAAAATCTATCCAAACCAAACCGATTCTAGAATCAAACCAACCCAAATCAAAGATGAACAACCAGCTGAGATTGATAACGCTGAACTCTCAATTGAAGATCAAATGAAAAACATTACTGTACACCTGGTCAAAGGAGCAGACGCTAAGGGTATCCTTAACATTTTTAACGCCGACATAAACAATATCAAAGGAATTTAACATTAAGAAATGAAAAAAAGTTTCAACTGGTATTTGAATAACGCTTATTAACAGTCTTTTTATCGATTAAATTCATTAAAATGATTAAAACCATTTGAGAGGAACGCACTTCCCAATAGTGACATGAGCGTCGTTTTTGGCATATAAATTCAACCCCTGTTTAACTATCTAGCTATCTATGCTAAACCTTTTATATATTTTTTTCTGCAAATGAATACAGCTTCAAATTTTGTCTGCCAGGCGCAGATGGCACCTGGATCACTCCGAACTGCACACTATACACTGCACACTGTACAATGTACATTGCACACTGTACACTGTACACTGTAAACTGCACACTGTACACTGTAAACTGCACACTGTATGCTGAACACTGCACACTATACTATGCTACAGGGTGTCCCAAAAAACATGGGAATTCAGTGACGAATTCGATATCGTGTTTGTTCTGAATTAGCATTGTAATACCTAATTTCAAAAGCCATAATATTATTATGTCTGCTAGAGTTTATTTAAAGAAAAGGGTAAAAGACTGTAAAGATGTGTCTATAATGTCTCCGCAAGATGAACAGTGAATACGGACAAGTTTACTCTGTTTGTATACTGTAATTTTCTTATTTTACTAAGTACAACCGGTTGCAGTCAAAACATAAACAAACAAAATGTAAACATAGCAGACGAAACTCTTACAGATTACAGCTTTCTCAGTAGGTATCACTATACTAAATGAAAGAATTATTTGAAAAGACGATATCGAATTCGTCACTGAATTCCTATGTTTTTTGGGACACCCTGTACATACTGCACACTGCTCAGTGCTCACTGTATGCTACACACTTGACACTGCAAACTTCACACAACACACTTTACAATTTACACTTTACACTGTATGCTGCACACTTCACAGTGTACACTGTATGCTGCACACTTTACACTGTACAGTGTACACTGTATGCCGCACACTTCAAACTGTACTGTACACTGCACACTGTTCACTGAACATTGCAAACTGCACGCTGTACGCTGAATGCTGCACACTGAATGCTGCACACTTGACACTGCACAATGCAATGCAAACTTACACTGCACATTTCACACTGTAAAATGTACACTGCACACTGCACATTACACATTGCACAATGAATGGTGCACACTTCACACTGAACACTGCAAACTGAGTAAGTAAAATGTAGACTGTAAACCGTACTCGGTACATTGCAAACTGCACACTGCTAAACTGCAAACAGCACACTGCGCACTGTACACTGCAAACTTAGTACGTCAAATGTATAACACTGTACACTGCAGCTTTCTACAAACTGCACAGTGCACACTCTGAAGTAAGTGCATATACTGTCCACTGCACACTATACATTTCACGTCGATATAGACGAAAATAAAGCTTTTTGCTATGCATTTTAGCAAAAAAGTTTGTAAGCATAAATTTATTAGCTGTCCTTGAAATTTCATGTAATTCTGTCTACAGGGGAGCTGCTCGGTATTAATGGGTTAAAACTAGTTACAAAATGTACCAATGTTTTAAATATTTCTAATCTCAACTTAAATTGAAGAAATTCATGAGCAGTAGCCATACTTAAATACAGTCATCATACGTACATATCAATACAATAAGGACGACGGAAACAAAGAGAAGCTGTCAATTAACACCCTTGGTTTACTTGTACGATTGGAAGTTGAAAAATCAGGCTTGTTAGAAATCAAAACTTAAGTAAAAGTCGTCTTCATTGTATTGATAGTATCGCGGACCACTTTACAAATTGATTTGTCTTTTGATTAATAAGTTTTCGTTCATAAATAAAAAAAGCATTTAAAATCCTTCCTATTAATTGTTAAAATGCCTTTATAGGGAATTCTATACTGGAACAGAAAGAAAGTTATATGAAAAGTCTGGAGACAAAACTTCTAAACAAAACAGGTTAATTTAATTCTAATATTTAATTTAAAAAACAAATTTAATCTTATAAATGATTCATGATTTCAAGGTAGACTAAAGAAGCCAGTGACGAAATTTCGAAGAAGCTTTCAACATTTTCGGCTTTACGAGAACAGGATCTGAAATATTTTTATTAACTAAAGCATGAGAACATTGCTTGATTAACGTTAAACCATTCAGATTAGACTTTTAAACTAGACGTAAAAACATTCCCGTGGTTATATTGAGTTCCTTAATCAAAATTTGAGGAAAATTCGCTCATGAGTTATGATCGGACAACAAACCAGAGATTGGTACTTTATTCAGAACTAGGTGAGAACCCAGCATTTACTCCCACCGTTTACCCGTGCTTAGTCGTAAACAAAAATAGACCCACTCATCTTAAAATCTCAAAACCAAGCTAAGAACACTCCTGTAGTTCTCCTGAATTCCCCAATCAAAATTTGAGGCAAATCGGTCAAGGGATTTGTGAGTTAGGACATATAAACGCACAAAGAGAATTTACTACTTTATATATATACACTAGGCTTTTAGTTGTGGCTTTAGCTATGAGCATCTTCTCTTTGTATAGTATAAAACAAAAACTAAAAAAGTTTGCGGATTTCATAACATTTTTTCGCGCATTTTCATAAGTTTACAAATATAAAAAACTTTTAAATTCACAAATTTTAGAAAATTCGATCATCATTAACCTTCCCTGGGGCCACGTGAGGTCCCACACAAAATTTGGGTCCGATCGGTTCAGCCTTTTTGCCGTTTATTGGATTCAAACAAACAAACAAACATCCAGACAAGCCAAATTTATATATAAATAAATAGTACATCATTACATATGTTAGTAAATAAATTATTTCTAGTTATTTAAACCAGTTTAATAAAAAAAAATTTTACGAGATTTCTTTTTGTCCGCAGAGCATGATCAGGTTGTTACGATCAAATTATGGAATTTTTTCCTATTGCGAAAGTTTGGTGTTGTCTGGATTTATATTGATCTACCAGGGGTTGTAATCTGGCAGCATATTCATCCATCCACGCTTCATTCATACTGAGAAGATGGTTGTCAAGATTCCAGCTGCCTAAGATTCTTCTTAGGCCTGAGAATAAGAGTGCAGGAATTCTTCTGATATACTGGAATCCGTCAGGTGGTTATAACTGCTTAACCAGATGTTTTTGAAACCACAGTTTTGTGAGCGCGCGGCCACAAGTCCATCTAGCAGCTGTAAAACCACGTGCTAGTAGTTCGGATGTGTAGTATTGCGTATTTGACGTAGTTCAGAAGTGGAGTATAGTAGATTTGCGTAGGTCGAATGATACACAGTCCGTTAAAATTGTTTACCACCCTTTTTACGCGCATTTACAGATATTCCTGGTGTAGAATGCCGCAAATAATTCCGAGTTAATAGAACTTCAATCTTTTTTGATAATTATAGCACTTTTCCGGTTATGCAGAAGAGATTTGAGTTTTACCTAAATAATGTTTGACATCATTCTCATGGGTTTGAAGATTCCAACATGATGTAATTATTCATCCATAATTTATGACCATAACGTGGCCAGATTAAAAAAAGTTTTATCTTCGAGAATTGGAAATTTTAAAAGTACGGATGGTAAAATTCGAGCTCAGTGGTTTGAAACTCACCAAATTAAGTGATAAACTGTAAAATTGCACATTGGACTATGAAACCATGACTTGAGTACTACAATCGTCTTCTATTTCACAGTTTTATGGGTTTCACTGTAAAAAAAACAAAGTCGTCTCCAAATTATTATATAAAGTGGGGCACCTTAATTGTAATATAAGAATTAACTCTATACATGAAAAGAAAGACTAAATCTACTTATAATGTGCGTGTATATCATACAAGACATTGTTCATACAAAGAAAAAGATAAAATATATATAAATATCCTGCTAATCTGTATAAACCTTACTATGGAATACATTTAATCCCTTTTCTTATTGGAAGTATTCTTCCCCTTGAGTTGGTGTGCGGGCGGTATAAAAACATGGAGTTCTATACTGCAGCGCCTCAGGATTTAGGTTCCTCACTAATTACAAAATATTTTTCTTTTCTGTTCTGGGTTAAACCATGCAAAGATGCTCACAGAGTAAAAATATATTAAATGTTGTTCTTCAAAGTACTGCTAAGTAAAATTTTAGGCCGTAAGTTGGCTCAACGCGGTGCTGAGCACAGAATTTTTAACAAAAAAGAATGTAAAAATCTTCAAGTTTTTATTGTACTCAAAATTTTACATACATATTCTAATTCATAATCAAAAATAAGTTTAACTACAGCGGTAGGCGATTATATCAATACAATTCAGACGACTTTTTAATTTAGGATTTGGTTGTTAACAAGCTTTTTTAGAATAACAAGCTTACTAGTAATCAAAAAGAAGCTTTTTAAATACAGCTTCCCTTGACTTCTATGTTCATGTGTATCCCATGCTGTTTAACAGCTTTATATAACTCAAGATTTAAAACGAAAGTTGTCTTTATTGTATTGATATAATCGCTTACCACTCTATATACGTCTGATACAGCTGAGGATTAAAATGCTACCAAGTGTAAAAGAGGGGTGGTTTTAAGATGGAAGGAACAAAAACCATTTTCGTGTTGGATCTATGATGTTATTCAAATCCAAATATAAGTAATTTATTTATAATAAATATGATTAGAAATGTGTTTGGGTACCGTTCTTACTACAGTGAGACAGAAAACTGTGGAATAGAAAGACGACATTAATATTTTAGCGTTTTTTATGTTATTACATCGCAATTAGATTTAGTGGCTTTAAAATCACTTATTAAATGAAAAGGTTTGTGTTTGTGGTCTAAAGGTCGTCTTCATAATCCACAGTTTATGGTAAATACAGTTACACAAAACACATCCTTTGTCAAAATCACCCAAAAATTTCCTGGAAATTGTTCTAAATAATTGAACTTCAATTATGATTTTAAGATTGCAAAAAAAATCCTGTGAAATGCGCAGATCTGTTTTATAATAAATGCGTATAATGCCAGGTATCTACTGTACTGGCTGGTTCCTCCCCTACCACATACTCCTTAACATATCAACATTTAGTAAAACCGGTTTAGGATAAAACAGATTTGAGAAAAGTTAAACTAACCTTAGTTTCAGAGAAAACTTTTTCAGCTTCTTCTCTAGTAATAACTTTGTTAGATCCTTCAACGCACACACAACCAATATCAAGCTTTCCTACAAGACAAAAAAAACTATCAATCACCCTTGGGGTCTTTCTTTGGTCTGGATTTTTTTTTCTTCAGCTGAAGACAATTTGTCGTTGGTCAGTTGGTTATTTTACCTATTTACCCAGCCGTTTACCTTGATCATCCTCCACCTTGCCCAGCCCAACCAGCCGTTTACCTTGATCCTCCTTAACCTTGTCCAGCCCAACCACCTGTTTACCTGGATCCTCCTCAACCTTGTCCAGCCCAACCACCTGTTTACCTGGATCCTCCTCAACCTTGTCCAGCCCAACCAGCTGTTTACCTGGATCCTCCTCAACCTTGTCCAGCCCAACCAGCTGTTTACCTGGATCCTCCTCAACCTTGTCCAGCCCAACCACCTGTTTACCTGGATCCTTCTCAACCTTGTCCATCCCAACCACCTGTTTACCTGGATCCTCCTCTACCTTGTCCATCCCAACCAGCTGTTTACCTGGATCCTCCTTTACCTCGTCCAGCCTAACCAGCTGTTTACCTGGATCCTCCTTTACCTCGTCCAGCTTAACAAGCTGTTTACCTGGATACTCATCTACCTTGACCATCCCAACCAACTGTTTACCTGGATCCTCATCTACCTTGTCCAGCCCAACCAGCTATTAACCTGGATGTTCATCTACCTTGTCCAGTCCAAACAGCTGTTTACCTAGATACCCTTCTACCTTATCCAGCCCGACAAGCTGTTTACCTGGATGTTCATCTACCTTGTCAAGTCCAAACAGCTGTTTACCTAGATCCTACTCTACCTTATCCAGCCCGACCAGCTGTTTACCTGTATCCTCCTCTACCTTGTCCAGCCCCCGCAGCTATTTACCTGGATCCTCCTCTACCTTGTCCAGCCCCACCAGCTGTTTACCTGGATCTTCCTCTACCTCGTCCAGACCAACCAGCTGTCTCCAGTACACATGGGTCTCATCAATTATCTAACAAAAATTCATCTTTATCTACATTAGTCTGTAATGTTTGAACCGAAAGAAAGGTTGGTTTAATGTGTTTATGAAGTTGTAAAATGATAAACTTTAAACTGTACCATCATAACATTGATTAGTTTATCTACTGAAGAGAAAGAAGAGGTTCATTAAAATACATTTTAGCTTTACTTTTGGAACACTAGAAATTAGTAAAATATGATAGGATGCGGAAAATGGGAATCATTTATAATAAAAAGCAAGTGGGGGATGAGAATTGGAAATAAATAAGAGATAAAAATATTCCTTGTGTGCAAACTCAGCATCCTTAAACTCTCCATTAAATGCAAACTGGTTTTCAGGCTTTCCGTCAGGCATCTTATAGATTCTATAAAGAGTACAATATATAATATATATAATCACTTTCCAAAATCTTCATCTTAAACGCTTGATCTCGATATCCAATTTGGGCACTTTTAAATCTGAGGATCAATGCTTGATTCCACAATTAAAATTATCCCTGTAGGGTAAAATCACCACGGGCTATCGAAGGGGAATCAATATAATCCAAACGATTGGGATTACTTCTTGATCATGAAGTTTATTATTATGTTTTCAGTGAACAACAATCCGGTTCATAATTATGCTAGGATAGACTTTGAAGATATAACTTTAAAAATCTGCTTATGTTTTTACAGAGAGACGTCAGAAAGAAAACTTTCTCTTTTCCGAATTTATTGATTTGGTTCAATATTCTTTACAGCCTGTTATGTGTAAATAATTATACAAATCTGGCATGCTGACAAACCATTATTAGGTTGGTTTTGATAATTACAACAAGTGTAGATTAAAATCTTATATTAAGCAACGAGTCATTCTATATAACGATTCTCTCCTGGGTTTATCTGACCCAGTTTCTGGTTTGATCAACGAACCCCTGAGTCTCCTGTGTTTGTTTAAGAAACTCCCGGGTTTGATTAAGAAACCCTTGGGGTTAATTACGAAACCCTTGGCTAGATTAAGGAACTGGTTTACCTAAACCAGTCTCTGGTTTAATTAAGGAACCCCTGGTTAGATTAAGGAACTGGTTTACCTAAACCAGTCTCTGGTTTGATTAAGGAACTCCTGGTTAGATTAAGGAACTGGTTACCAGTTTCTAGTTTAATTAAGGAACCCCTGGTTAGATTAAGGAACTGGTTTACCTAAATCAGTCTCTGGTTTAATTAAGGAACCCCTGGCTAGATTAAGGAACTGGTTTACCTAAACCAGTCTCTGGTTTAATTAAGAAACCCCTGGTTAGATTAGGAAACTGGTTACCAGTTTCTAGTTTAATTAAGGAACCCCTGGTTAGATTAAGGAACTGGTTTACCTAAACCAGTCTCTGGTTTTCCTAAACCAGTCTCTGGTTTGATTTAGTAACCCCTGGTATTTATTAAGGAACCCCTGGGGTTGACTAAAAACCTCTGGGGGTGACTTAGAAACCATAGGGTTTGAATAAGTAACAGGTTTACCTAAACCAGTCTCTGGTTTGATTAAGGAACAGGTTTACCTGAACCAGTCTCTGGTTTGATTAAGGAACAGGTTTACCTGAACCAGTAAGTAACAGGTTTACCTGAACCAGTCTCTGGTTTGATTAAGGAACAGGTTTACCTGAACCAGTCTCTGGTTTGATTAAGGAACAGGTTTACCTGAACCAGTCTCTGGTTTGATTAAGGAACCCAGGCATTAAAGTCTCCACATCTTCTAACCCATTCAGTTTATCCGCCAATGGATCTGTTACATCTAGATTTTTTTTTTAAATAATAAAAAATATTTAGACTTTTCTAACAAATCAAAATGTTTTCACCTATAACTAAAACTTTCCAATCTGTTTCCCCGTCATCTATCATTGCTAAAATACCGAGAACTTTGACCTGAAATACATTATATCTATAAATCTTGGCTTAAACCAAAGTCAAGCGTTCATTCAATATTTCAAGTTTATTCTCATAAGTCGTATTTGTCAAGACTTATTTTGTCGACTCTGGGGCACAAAATTTAACTTTAAAGGGAGTGTTCGCGAAAAATGAAAGGGGGTATAGGTATAGAAGAAAATTGTTAAAGACGTCTTATAACGAATAACTTAGCGCCAATGCAAATTCAGAAAATTGCATCATATAACTTAGACCGTAAAAAATCAATTTAATTTCAAACAAATCATTCAGATATTACAACCTATAGTCATCGAGCTTTCGCCACGTTTGTTTATATTTTATGATATTTTATTTTTTTAGAAAACGTTTTAACGGAATTCGAAAAATGTGAGTGGTGCGCGGCATTCTTAGATAGTTGCGCAAGCAACAAGAGAAATAATCAAATTCAAAACAAATTAATTAAAAAATATTATAAAATATAAACTAAATACAAATGTGGCGAAAGATAATCGATGACTATAGGTTGTAATATCTAAATGATTTGTTTGAAAGTAATTGATTTTGTACGGTCTTAGTCATATATTGCAATTTCTGAATTTATATGGGCGCTAAGTATCGGTATGAGACGTCTTTAACAATTTTCTCCTTATAGACGCAACAGATAGAAGTAAGATTATTAGCGATCAAAAGGGTTTTTTTATCGCATTAAGCCTATACCCCCTTTCATTTTTCGGGAACACTCCCTTTAATCATAATCTTGGAACAGAAAAAAGTGTGATGCTGTATTAATGAATAAAGAGAAATATTTGCCGTGTTAAGCAATAATAAAAAGTTTAAGTTTTAAATTTAGGAGGGTTGTGACTTACGAAGTCCCTAAAGTAACTTTTGTTACCTCTAGAACATCTCCTCGCTTAGCAACCCTGTGTCCAATCTCAATAACATCAACTGGGTCATTATCACCCTGTAATAAACATCAGGGTCATTCACACCCAGTAATAATACACATCAGGGTTTCAATCACCCTGTAATAAACAACAGGATAATTATTGCCCAATAATAACCATCAGGGTAATTATCTCCCTGTAATAACAACCAGGGTGATTATCTCCCTGTAATAACCATCAGGGTAATTATCACCCTGTAATAACCATCAGAGTAAATAACACACTGTAATAACCATTAGGGTAATCATAACCCTGTAATAACCATCAGGGTAATAATAACCCTGTAATAACCATCAGAGTAAATAACACACTGTAATAACCATCAGAGTAATCATAACCCTGTAATAACCATCAGGGTAATCATAACCCTGTAATAACCATCAGGGTAATTATCACCCTGTAATTGTATTTATCAAATGTTCATCTATTCAAATCTTAAGAAAGTTTGTATTTGTAAAATGGCAGTAAAACAGCTCGTTTTCCCAATTTTTTATCAAGACAGCGGATTTATCGCCTTACAACTAATATCCATTGTGCTTTAACCGTAAGTAAATAACAAATACAGCATTCAATACAAATTTCTGAAACAAACCTTTTCTCCGGTATTCTCATCTACGTGGTTTGGATTCTCCCAGGTCTTTATAAATAGTTCCATAATCCTACTTAGTGATGAAANCAACGTTGAAATAACAGAGATGAGAAGTAAAGTAAGAAAATAGAAAACAACATCCCAGACTCAAAAAGCTAAACAAAGATCAGTTAACCTTGACACATCAAATACATAATAATATTAAATTTAAAGTATTGAAATCGACATTTTTTGGAACTCGTTGCAAAAGAAGAAAATATATGAATCCTTCAATATCCAAAAGTAAAATAAAACAGCTCCAAAGAAAAATGTCCCCCCTCCCCTCCATAAAGTTCCATTTTATGGTAGTTCCCTGAGGAAAGGCTCCATAGTTCCAGATATATCCATGGTGAGGGAACGAGTTCCCAACATATCTCAGTTTTCCCTTTTTCTGGTCCTGAATAAGACAATACTTTATTTAATTAATCAAGTTAATATTCTTAAAAATAAGGCAGTGCGGCGAAATATGTTTATTTTTCATATCAAACAGTGTTAAAATATTAAAAATGTAAACATACCCGTTCAAATATCGTCGTACAGTGTATGTAAAGTGTATACAGTGTGTGTGTATAGTACACTGTATACTGTACAGTGTGTATTTACAATGTACACTGTATACTGTACACTGTATGTACAATGTACACTTACACTGTAAAGTGTATGTACAATGTACACTTACACTGTAAAGTGTATGTACAATGTACACTTACACTGTAAAGTGTATGTACAATGTACAGTTTGATCGAAATATATAATACTTCTGTCCAAACCTGAATAATTGGATTTAAAGCAGATTTTGTATCTATTTCCATCTTAGCATTTGTCCATCTTGGAATCTAAAAATAAAAAGATTTTTAAACTAATATGAAAAAAAAATAAAATTCTTTTAAAATCTTCCCTGATAACCCGAACACCTACAAATACTACAGCCTCTATATAGATATACGTATTATTAGGTATATTTACGTAACAATTCGTATGCTCAACTTTTTAGTAAAGAACGCATTTTTACGTATTTATCATACCAACGGTTTTTTAAAATGTTTAGGTTTTTATTTACTTATTTTTACGTATATTTTCGTAAAATTCATACCAAGTAATTTTTCTAATATATTCACAAAACATCAACTGCAAAACAAAGCATTTTTATGTTAGAATTTAAAATATTTTATGGTGTTTTAAGATAATTTGATTGTATGAAGTTTAATGCAACTATTTTGGTAAATGGAATGTTTTAAAATTTCTATTGTTTTGGAGTAAATTTTTTTTTATTAGAATCATTGTCCTTAAATTCTCGATTTTTATATAAATAGAAGTTACACTTTAATACAATGAAACTCTTAATAACGAATACATCGAAAGAATTCATCAAATGTCGTATTCTTCACTTTCTGATAATGGAATGTTGCAGATATTTTGTTTTTTAATTAAATGATTATATGGAGCTCTTAAAACTGTTCCCGCATATTCATGGCTATTTATTTATTTTCGCAAATACTAAAATTTACGTAATAAAATATAAAACTCATTGAAAAATTGTCAAGACGACATTTGATAAATTCTTCCGATGTATTCGTTATTAAGGGTTTCACTGTAGTGTATGAATAAATGTTGATTTAGATGGATCCAGATGAAGAAGATGATGGTGTGCATTTGTCCATAGAATATTGGATTGGATTGAAATTAATTGATATGAATGTTTAATATGGATTAAAAGAACTTGTGGAATTAGTTGTATGGATATGAAGGAACAATGTGATGAATAATTATAGTCATAACCTTCTTAACATTTTGGTTTTAGAACTTGAATATGCCTTAAAAAATGCGTATTTTTACAAACGCATTTTTACGTTTGTCATGCACGTATATTTACGGATATAAAATACGCATTTTTACCAAGGAAATGGTTAAGAAAATATGTATACGTCATACATATGGAAAATACGTATTTTTACGTATTCCAAACCTAAAATCAGTATTATTATGCAATATGTATTATCACTAGTACTATCTCTCCAGGTGTACCATGCATAAAACATCTTTAACAAAGAAGATAAAGGCGGAAAAAGATTTGAAACAATTAGACTGCTTTCCCGTCAAAGGTACATTTAGATTGTCATACAGATTTCAATAATTTTTTATAAGAAAAAAATATACAGCATTAGCAACAGGTTGGCCATTTAAGAAGGAAAAAATGATTTCGCAGAAAATTTCCGTAATTCTGGTTGAATAATACACTGGGAAATAGGAAGACGACTATCAGACACAAGTTATGATATTTCCAAAAAACATAAAACACAGCAATTTTTCAATGTACTGTACACTGTGAACACAGACCAATATATAGACATCAAATACGCAAAAGGTTTTTAAACGTCGTCTTCTAATTCCTGCGAATCGTTGTTGAATTTTGAAGATATCTATTTTAGAGACCCCGAAAACACAAGTTATCTAAATTCTAAAAAAATTGAGTTACCTCCACTACCATATGGAAGGTTCTAGGTTCAACATTAGCGTCCAGAGGAATATCATGAAAAGGAGAGATAGGACCGTCATCATCTCGGATAAAAACCTAGAAAAGGAGAGATAGGACTGTCATCATCTCGGATAAAAACCTAGAAAAGGAGAGATAGGACCGTCATCATCTCGGATAAAAGCCTAGAAAAGGAGAGGTAGGACCCTCATAATCTTGGATAAAAACCTAGAAAAGGAGAGATAGGACCGTTATCATCTCGGATAAAAACCTAGAAACGGAGAGATAGGACCCTCATCATCTCGGATAAAAGCCTAGAAGAGGTAGGACCCTCATAATCTTGGATAAAAACCTAGAAAAGGAGAGATAGGACCGTCATCATCTCGGACAAAAACCTAGAAAAGGAGAGATAGGACCCTCATCATCTCGGAAAAAAGCCTAGAAAAGGAGAGATAGAACCATCATCATCTTGGATAAAAACCTAGAAAAGGAGAGATAGGACCGTCATCATCTTGGATAAAAACCTAGAAAATAAGGTACAGGATCTTATTACAAATAACAAATTACAAAATTAACATGCTCTCGCGATATTAGTAATATATGTAAATAGAACCGTACTAAAATTAGGTGGCAATAATTAAAACCAGAATTTCATCTTCCTACTTTTTCCAATTAAATTCATTTATGAACCATATTCAGATGAAAATTGTATAATTAGTGATTGTTCTAATATATTTTGATGGATATAAATACCTTGTAACTATCTGAATGGGAAGTACCCCTCTCTACAGCTGTGTATGCAGATACTGGCATATTGAGTCCGCTTGAAAAACTAAAAAGCCTGAAAAGAGAAAAAGTTTTGGAGTTCCCTTGGGATGTATATTGTTAAGTGTAATAAAATCAGATTCTCTGGGTGCCCTCCTCCCACTCCCCAAACCCGAAATGGCTTTACTAAATCACCTCTGAAGAAATGTATTTTAGCTTATAAAGGTATCTTATTTCTGATTTGGTATTAAGACTTCATTCTCTACTGCTCAGTTAGATATTTGTATTGGAAAAAAAATGAGTTTGAAGATATAATAATATATTTTCCTTAAACTACATTCATTCACCCCTGGCCTGAGGCCTGCAATTTATAAGCTTGGATATTTATATGATTTTTTATCAGTGTTACCAGTTACCATATTTTTAATATTTAAATCCCTTTAATTCAATTGAATACCTAAAAAAAATAATAGTTTTGCAAAGCTCTGTTTATATTATTTTTTTTTCTCGCAATGTCACCCTTTAAATTGTTTTTCTCCTTATTATTATATTATTATTATTCTTTTGTGAACTCAATTGAATTTGTTATTTTGTTGCAATGAAAAAAAAACATCTAAATAAGTTTATGACATATTAAATACATGATTATGTAAAAAAGGAAATAGTTGAAAATATTCGTATTTTGAACCAATATCTCGGACTAATTTGATTTTGGAACATTTTTTAAATAACTTACAATGCAATATTTGGGAACAATTCAGAAATTTAGCAACATATATGTTCGAAATTTTATTTTTTTTAAATTTTATTTTTCCAGGAATTTCCATTTCAGACAAATCTGGTTTTAGAAGTCCAAAAAAGATTTTTTTTTTCTAATATTAGTTTTTGAATTAAATAAGTTTTAGCAAACATTTTATTCTGAGATAGACATGAACTTATGATTATGAAACATTTCTTTTCAAACAGTCTTAGTGCTGAGAAGCATTATCAAAAATTATTTATATAACTAAATTTTTAAGGATGTTGCCCCCCTCCTAGAAAGCTCACAATTAAAATGAAAAAAGTGAAGTTTTTTTTTTTCCTAATTATATAAAGGTCTGTAAAGGTTGGAAACTAGATCTACTCAAGAGAGAGAACACTGGATGTCTGAATATATATTTGTGTACAATGTGTATAGTAAAGTACAAAGAGGGAGTTGACAGGTGGCCGGGTCAAGAGTCCGGTATCTTAAGAGCGGTATTAGCTAATACCGCTCTAATACCACTCTTAACACTAACACCGGTGTTTAGGAAATACGGATTCATAAGTCGCTAATGCTGCCTAATTTGTGGCAGGATTATCTAGCCTAGAACAGCTGATGCGTTCATAAGTCATCCTAGCTAAAACCAGGANTGTAAAGGTTGGAAACTAGATCTACTCAAGAGAGAGAACACTGGATGTCTGAATATATATTTGTGTACAATGTGTATAGTAAAGTACAAAGAGGGAGTTGACAGGAACTGGTCAACTTCCACGTAAACATAAACAGGGATAAATATGATAAATATATATGAATAAACTGGTCCTCCACAGGTCTGATACAAGTTCATAGTTTGACTATCTATCTAATAATGACAAGATTTATGATAACACTGTTTATAATATTTCATTTGGTAGAATAATCTTAATAAAAACACAAAAATAAGTATAAATGTTACTAGATTAAAGAACTAACAAAAAAATAACCGAATTATTTATGATGACAAGGAAACCACTTCAAAAACAAATAAATCATAACAACAAAACTTATTAACCCTACACTTCAGTCGAGAGATCCGAAAAAACTAATTATTTAAATTTAAAACCGCAGATTTAACAGTGATAAGCGCGCAGTCAGATTTGATAAATATGTGAAAATAAAAATCTTGAAAAAATTATGACTGAATGGATGAAGGACGACAATAAGCAAGAATTAATCCTAAGAATATTTGGAAACTGAGATACTGGGACACCAGACATGGATACTAGGATACATGGATACTAGAATACTTCGATACTAGGATACATGGATAATTGGATACATGGATACTTGGATACTAGGATACAAGGATACATGAATACTTTGATACTATGATACATGGATACCAGGATACATGGAAAATTGGATACTATGCTACACGGATATATGAATACATGGATGCATGGATACTAGAATACTTGGATACTAGAATACTTGGATACTAGGATAAATGGATACTAGGATACCAGGATACATGGATACTAGGATAAATGGATACTAGGATCCATGTATACTTGAATACTAGGATACTAGAATACATGAATACATGGATACTAGGATACATGTATACTAACTAGGTTACATGGATACTAGGATATTTGGATTCTAGGATACATAGATACTAGAATACTTGAATACTAGAATACTAGAATACTAGGATACTAGGATACATGGACGCTTGGATACCTGGATACCTTGATACTTGAACACTAGGATACTAAGATACATGGATACTAGGATACAAGGATACATGTATACTTGGATACTAGGATACTAGGATAATAGGATACTATACTAGGATACTTGGATACTGGGATACATAGATACTAGAATACTTGGATGCTTGAATACTTAGGTACTAGGATACATTTATACTTGGATACTAAGGTACGAGGGTACTAAGATTCTAGGGTACACTAGGGTACAAGGGAACTAGTATACTAGGGTACAAGGGAACTAGGATACTAGGGTACAAGGGAACTAGGGTACAAGGGAACTAGGATACTAGGATACTAGGATAACAGAATACTAGAGTACTTAGATAATATGCAGGATAAAGATTCAATGGTAATAGTTCAACTAAACTTGAACATACTGAGAATACTGGGATACTAGGATAGTATGCTGAATAAAGGTTTCATGATACTTGTTCAAATAAACCCCTTGAACATACTGAGTATACTAGGATACCAGGATAGTATGCTGGATAAAGGTTTCATGATACTTGTTCAACTAAACCCCTTGAACATACTGAGTATACTGGGATACTAAGATAGTATGCTGGATAAAGGTTTCATGCTACTTGTTCAATTAAACCCCTAGAATATACTGAGTATACTGGGATACTAGGATAGTATGCTGGATAAAGGTTTCATGATATATAAACTTGTGTTCCCATCTATCTTGAACTCCCCTCTATAAACTTGTACGGCACTCTAGACACTTGTACTCCAATCTGCAAACTTGAACTTTAAACTTCACTTTACAAACTTGAACTTTACTCTGCTGATGTGTAATTTACTCTGCACACTTGTATTCTACTCTACTTAGATGAACTCTACTCTAAACACTGATACTCCACTCTAAGCATGTGTACTGCAGTTTGCACACTTGTACTCTAGACTATGCTCTTTTACCAGCTACTTTATGTAGTTTAAATTTAAACACTCCAAACTCCACACATTTGCATTTTAATCCTGTAATTTCATCTACACACCAGCTCTTCCTCCACTTTCTTCACTTGTGACTTGCTTCATAAACTTGTACTTGATTTCTACAATGTCCCATAAATTCAGTACATTTAATCCACTTAATGCTCTTATTTATCCTTTCCACACTGTATTTGGTTTTTGGGGTTTTATTCTTACGTGAGGCAAATTTTGGACGGAAACATGTCTATTGTCTACTACTAAATTGGGATACAAATCTCATTCCAAGGCAATGGGTTAAGGCAGGAAGTGGGGAGGGGTGTCAAAGAATAACTAAGCATTTTTTTAGCAAACAAACTTTGTTATATAATGAACCAACATTTTTTCAGGGTTAAAAGCTGAAAGAAGTTTGCTTGACTATGTAGTCAAAACAACGTATAAGGGACAGACATTTTTCTTACATATTTTGATCATTTACAATTTCCTGGGTAACTTTAAAAAAATTTTATTTTAAATTTCGTCTTTATTTAAAATTGATTTTGATTTAAAACTGAACAAAAATATATTTAAACGTTATTTAAATAATAAAACGTGATCTCGGACAGACAAAATGTGCAACATGAATTTGTTAAGCATAAGGTAAGTAAACTCAAAATTCTTCCCAAACTTTTCAAAGCTCAAAAATTCTTTTTCAAGACAATTAAGTTTTTGTTTTAATAATATTTGATATTTTTTCGATGTTGTTTTCCAGGATCAATTTTTTTCCTGTCTCCATTGTAACAAACAAAACATTATTTAACCATTGCAGTATTTTTATTAGGAATATACATAAAAAAGCACCTAACCTAACTAACACCCAGAAACAGGGTGTCCCAAAAAACATGGGAATTCAGTGACGAATTCGATATCGTCTTTTTAACTAATTCTTTGATATAGTACAGTGATACCTACTGAGAAAGCTATAATATGTAAGAGTTTCGTCTGCTATGTTCACATTTTGTTTGTTTATGTTTTGACTGCATACGGTAGTACTTAGTAAAACAAGCAAATTGCAGTATACAAACAGAGTAAACTTGTCCGTATTCACTCTTGATCTTGCGGAGACATTATAGACACATATTTACAGTCTTTTACCCTTTTCATAAAATACACTCTAGCAGACATAATAATATAATGGCTTTTGAAATTAGGTATTACAATGCTAATTCATAACAAAGACGATATCGAATTCGTCACTGAATTCCCATGTTTTTTGGGACACCCTGTATTTAGCTATCAATGATGCCTCTAAGTCAGGGCCATCATCATCTAATTTCCAAGTAGTGTCATTTGACCCAGCTGTGAGTAGCACCATCTTATCAATGGCCAGACACATGTTCATGTCTCTGCAGAATTTGTCCACTGCTTTAAGCAGTCTACTCATACCTCTTATTCTAGTTCTTGAAATGAGGATCAAATCATCAGCAGCGAAAACAGGGCGGTTACTAAAATGTCGTTAAAAACAACCCCCTCCTTCTTAAAATAGAGCACCTTTCCCAGGCCAGAACCTTTCCCATACCCAAAAATATCTTTTTCTTCAAAATAAAATATTGAATTCTAAAAATATAGGTCAGAACCTTTCAAAAATTGATCGAAAAAAATATTGTGCAATGACGTTTTTTCTATATGGAAACATCATCGTGATTTGACCAGATACAATAGAAGCTAAATAATGATATGTATGTAAACATTTTAAAAAATTATGAATTTAAAAACTATAACGAACCTTGTTGAGGAAATTGAAGAGTTTCCGGCTGAAAATCTATGAAAACAGAATTAATATTGTAAACTTCGGCACTTTGTTTACTGAAAGTGTTTTTTTCGACTTATATTGTTTAAAAAGAGAATTGGCAATCAAGTGTAATTGAATGGTAATCAAGGATGTGTATTCTTTCTTAGATTTGAATTTTTTGGGAAATGAACCCAATAAAACCATCATTTGAAGTAGCAAATTGATACAATTCTTCTGTACAGGAAAATAATTCATTTGAAGAATATGTAGATTTTAAAAGATTTTAAAAGATTTTAACGCCACTTCACTCAACTGAATTCTCTACCCTCACATTTTTTTGGGAACTTTTGGGGAATAGTCTAGAAAATTCATCATATTTTTATTTTCAAAGGCAATTGTGAGGATGAAAATATTATAGGAAACAAAATTGAATTAAAATTCGGTGATTGTGATGGACCAAACCTCTGTAGAGTAAAAAAGTAGATGTTAGTTCCACATTTATTGAAAATATATTTCGGTCTGGGTTGACCCTCGTCAGTTCGAACGATAATAACCACAAGAAAATAAACAAACAAAAAAGATTTAAAAACAAAAATTTGGCTGTCAAATGGACATGAGGGAAACGAACTAAGATTATGAGATGGAAAAAAAGATAATTTGAGAATTCACTTTTTAAAAAAATGTAGAATTTTTCTCTTTTGTTTTTTAAGAAATTTTAAGGGAAGAAACTTTTCCACTTGAGAGTAAAATATTATTGGTAATCAAACTTACATTTTAAAAGAATAGATCAGTTTCAAAATATAAAAATGAATTTATAATTAAAGAAAATATCAATTTGACAAATATCACTGCTTTCTACAGTTAGATGCGGGAAATATACTCCCGAATTTTATTAGTGTTTAAAGAACTACTTCTTCCGGAAAATTAAAATGTCATCAAAGTCTATATAGTAACAGAATCATGAAAATATTTAAGACGTTTGCTTTAAATTAGCTTAAAGAAAAAACACACATCAATCAATCAATAAATAAATCAATATATCAATCAATCAATCAATTGATCTAAAACCATGAAAGATGTTCTTAATAGTTAATATATTCTGCCTAAAAGACAAGGAACGTAGTTTGTGACAGCTAGTGACAGATCTGTCTAATGGTTGACAGCTAGGGAAAGATCTGAACAAGGTTGAACAACACGTGACAGATGTGCTGAGGGGTTTACATCTGTCAGTCTGATTTAGAAGAAGTTGAGATAACAGATGTGATCTGACTGGATATAAAATGTAAAAAATCAAAGAACCTTAATTTTGTGTAAACTGGGAATTAATAAGCTAATATTCAGATCTAGAAAGCAATTTTTTACGTATTTATAAGCTGGCAAATAACGGATTGATTTAAAAAGAATTTAATAATGTGTAATTTTAAGAGGTGTAAATGTGAAAACATGCATTTTATACGAATTATAATAAAAGTTTTCAGAGACAGAAGCAATTTTCAGTTACATTTCATTTCTATCCCGATTCATAATGGAACCCTTTCACCCTTTCTGTACAAAAATAATAAAATACCATCGTATTCACATCTTATTCAAAATTACGTTTGGAGAATCTTTTTTTTGATTATTAAATAACGACGACAAAAAATGTAACAAAGCTAATTTGTTGTATAGGAACAGGTTGAGAAAATAAAAATTAACGCTTATCATCGAAAATAAGTAATCTTCTCCAATTATTAGTTTCTATAAATAACAAAAGATTTTATGCAATTTTCATTTTTTTTAAAACAACATTTAAAGGATTTGTAGAAATCTGCAAACAATTCATAGAAATAAGAAATTCAATATAATGATGAAAACGAAATATTTAATTCTAACATTGATTTTTTCTTTTGAGAAATATGTTCCTTAATATCTATTAGTTTACTGTATATTCTTTACTTTATTTTTTGTCGTCATTTTTAATAATTTAAAAAAAACCCATCCTCGAAACGTATCCACCCAAAAACATGATTTTGAAAGACGACTTTGCGATCAAACTCAGTGATAATTCATCGTAGAAACGTTTTATGTGTCTCAAATGAATTCTAAAGAATTTCTCCAGAATATTGCATTCTCAGTTCAACTAGCATACATAGCCGGTCACTCCCTTTAAGAACAAATAAGGCCTTATTAGATACCATGGAGTATGACATTTTAACATTTTTCCTAAACGTTTGGAAGAATTCATCTGAAATGCAATAAGGTATTTTAATCAAAAAATTTATTTTTAAACATTCCATATTATATGATATTATATGATTACTATTTATAATAAAAAGATTTGGGAGAAAAAAGATTTTAAAATAATTATTCTTGAAGAATGCGATGTAAAACTAAATTAAGAAGAATAATAAATAAATCCCATTTATTCTGTGCTACCATGAAACTATATAATTAATCGATCCAATAACAGTTTAATCAGAGAATATAATTTTTAAACTTTATCCATTGATTTCTTTACTTGTCCTATTTTTCAGAGAAAAAAGTTTGGTCTCGCTATGAATAAACTTGGGAAAAGGAAAGCGTTGATTTCTGAGAGTGGGAAAAACATAGTGTATGAAACCATATTGAAGGGCAAAGAGAAAAAGAAAACACAAAAGACAAGTTTATTTAATCTTATAAAACTTAAAAACAAAAACTTAATTATTGTTTATTTTCCCTCAAAAAAACATTTATTTTTACTATTCAAGCGAAAAATAAGCTTCTAATTTTATTAAGCAAGAATTCCTTCTGTATGCTGGGGAAGGGGGATTTTTTTTAAAGGGGGGGGGAAGAAATAAATTTTTGAAGTAAATATATACCCCTTGCTTTTTCCAACAAAACAAGAATTCATTCTCCCTTGACCTCGAAAAATATCAATTTATCATCTAAAAATTTTAAAAAAATTAACGCAAGATTGAACATCTTTAACAAAATAAAAATTAATTTCTGATTTGTAAACTATATATTTTCCTTCAGTAGTTAACCGTAGCACTTGATAGGATCGAGACAACCCTTCTCCGCCTTCTGGGACCCCTTCTCCAGGTAGTGCTGGTGGTAGTCCTCAGCAGGCCAGAACCTAGGCAACACGAGGGTTTAGGTTTTTTTATAGACGATCTGAATCCAGATATAAACACGGATACGCACAATTCAATTATATTTCAGGGGAAATTAGTTTCAGAACCAAAACGTGGCCCATTTCTAACACTGAGTGTTTGATATGTGCCAAATCTACAAAGTTATCTTTTTCAAGCGTATACATCTTTAAACTCAAGACAAGTTGAACAAAACTGCACCAACATTTATTTAAATGGTTAAAACTAATTATTGAAACAAGAAATGTAGACTTTAAACTAATAATAAGGTGTGAGAATTAGTTTTTGATGATATTGGTTTTCATTTTCGAACATATACTTACTTTGAAATAATTACCACATTTCAGCTCATGTCGCGTTTTTTGAACATATCCTAGTTTTGATTCAATTACTCTAATTCATATCAATGTCAATTTTCAAGCATTTACGCACTTTCATAACAAAACAAGACTTTTGATAAGGTAAACTGTAAACAAAATACTAAACTAAAAAAACTGTGCTTTTATAATTTAAATATCATTGAAGTATTAAGAAATCAACATTTTAATATTATTTTGTTCTTATACAATATAGATTCAACTAGAAATGCGAGAAATCGTTTATTTAGAATGCGGGAAATTAAATCAACTTTATTCTCTTATTTAAAAAATAAAATGGGCAAATTAAGATTTTAGAAATAATTTAGCAGTTAATTTAGTCCTCATCAGATAATTTTTACTTTCAGTGATTTATTTTGTAAGTTATTGAAGTGAGTTTTGTTCTGAATTGAGATTTATACTCAAAAACGGGAAAGTGGGTTTGTCTTGAAAGCGCGACAATGCGATTCAAATTTAGGATATGTTTGAAAATGGAAAACCTGACATTGTCTTGAAAACGGTCAAGAAATTTAATATTAAAAGAACTCCTTTTATAATTTTGATTGCAGAAAATAATTTTAAAATGGGAATTGTTGTCATCACTCATCGTCATGCTTAATAAACTGTTGGTTAAAGTTTTAGCTATTGTAAGATCTGAGGATCCTTATAAACTAATGTGTGTTCAGGGTGTTCAGCGACAAGACGTTACTCAGTGTGTTCAACCAGGAATTCTCTACAAACATTCGATCAATCACACAGAACTCTACATGGACAAATTTTTACTAATCAATCACGTGTTCAATTCAATAATTAATTGAGATTTTTAATATATAACTATTTAAAGGCCAATTTTTATAATGAATAACCTGATTTTATTTTATAATGCAGAACCTGAGTTTTATGGTTAAAATGTTTTATGATTTAACATATATATATATAATATTTAGCCAAAACCTATATACTGTCTCGCCAAAGCCTAATTAAAGCCTAGTCTAAAGCCTCAAAAAACTGTAAATAATGAGTTTTATCTTTCAGAACACAATGGGTTAGTTGCCCCCTTCTAACCTGAAATTGTGTTTCTTTCTCCAGGTCTATAAATCATCCATTTATTTTAAAGGCTAAAATTTTATTATTGTCATGCATATAATTAACCCTGGACTGATTTATTGTGTTTTCAGTTCACGGTTGAGTCCTGTATAAACTGCCTACCTGAAATATATACATAAGATTTAATCAGTGCAAATAGAGGTGAGCCGAAGAGAAAGAGTTCATGCTCGCTCTTATGTTTGTAGTTATTACCTGGTCTCCTATAGGTAAAAATGAGCACAGCTATCGACTTTTACTCTCGATATGAGCTGGAATCCAAAAAAACCAGTCTTCCCATTTGTGCCCATTTCTAACACTCAGTGTTAGAAATGGGTCGAGCGTTAGTTTTGGAATTAATGTCCCCTGTATTTATTTTCTATTGGATTTTTTCCTGCAAAATGCCGCTATTTCTTTCTTGTACTTGGGTTAGTTTCGAAAATAACGGAGAGATAAAGGAGGGTATTAGGTTTATATTTTACGATTTTGTTAAAACCTACTGTTGTACTCTAACCAACCCTCTTCCCCTAAATAAAAAGTTTACCCAAAAGAACAATGTATTTTTGAAGTAAGGAATCATTTTTAGAAAAATATCAAGCCATGTCAAGTTAGTTATCAGACTGATTTCGTCATTAGGATAACTTTGATCTTGAGACAATAAATAACAATTAACATTACAGATCAGATGTATCAAATAAAATAAAAGGGAGTAAATCACAGGCAGCCGTAGTACATTTGAATTTCCGAGCCGGGTCAACCTTTTCGGTCCCAGTTTGTACTGTACCTAGCTCTATAGACAGGACTAGCCGGTGCAACAAGATTGACGCGATCAGATTTACTTATTTCAACATATCATATTTTATGATTTATTCCCTTTAATACATATTCTATTATTTAGCAAAACTAACTAAAGATGAAATAAATATTATACACCCATTCATCTCAGGTTATTGATCCGAAATAAGAACATCCTTTTCTTAAGAAAAAATCAAGAAACGAACAAATCAAGTGTGTGTAAATAGAAATGTTTACTTACTTTGCTGCCTGTTTAATCTCCACCACAATAGTTCCTTTATACTTCGGAGTAACTTCCTTTACAAACTCATCAGCTATAGCCTACAATGTATACATCTGTTGACTTTAAAAGTCACTATAATAAAATAAAGAGATCTAAAATGGATATTTCTAACATTTATTTAAAAAAACGAGTGTTTTGAAATATTTGCATTTAAGGCGGAGTTAAAATTGGTTAATTTAGAAATTAACAAAGGAATTAATGATAGATATTTGATGGTTCTTCATAGGAGTGTTGTAGAGCTTCATGTTGGTGGAGCAGATCAACAGGAACTGGGGCAACAGGGCTTATCCAACCTAGTAGGCAGAGATCGCGGCTTTATCATGCTGGATTTGAGCAATTATGTTGTCTCTGGAAGTGGAGTGCATGATAAACTGGGAACCCTCAGGTAAGCCTGTCTGCTGCTAATTGAGTATCTGCGTCATCATCATAAAGGAGTCAAGAGGCTCCCTGTGTCGGAGCTGTTACTAGTTCAAATGTCCTAACCTGACTGACTGGGATGTGTTATAGAGGGGTGAGGCGGGGAAAGAAGGAGCGAGGGTTACATGTGTGTACTTCATGGCGGAAATGGATCTTGTGTACACAAGCATCTTGAGAAAAGGCTACGGCATTTGGGTCGGAAAAATCGTCTTCCTTATATTTCGAATTTGTTTTAACAACATCATATTAGTTTATTTTATTTTTGAAATCAGTTTAAGCGCATATTTGAAAAAGTACTTTTTGTAGAAGATAAACATAATAGATAAGATTAGTGTATTTTTAAAGATGTATATTTTTTAAATATATTAAAATATAATATTTGAAAATCGTCAAATTATTGTTATTTAAATATATATAACATTATTGTATTTTGAACAATATCAGAATTTATAAAATCAATAAATTAAACACTAAACATATCAATATGATTAAAAAAACCAGTGCTTAGGATCCGGGTACGGATCCGTAAGATTTTGGCTTCCTGGATCCGGATCCGCAAAAAATATACGGATCCACGGATCCGGCTCCAAGGGGTAAAATATCAACCAAAAACTGCAAAAAAATCTTTTTTACTCCAAAACCCCAAATCTGAACTTTTGAAAAAAGAGAGATAATTAACATTTACTCATTTCTGAACGGTTCATCAAGTTTTAGGATAAAAAAGAGAAAAAATTAAAACCAAAAATTTGAAAATTTATTTTTGTTAAAAAATTCAGTGAATCTTAAAGAAATGACCTGGATCCGAATCCGGATTTGGATCCGTGTCCATTTTTTCCAGTGCGGATCCAGGATCCGAATCCGCATCAAAATTGAATGGATCCTAAGCACTGGTTTTTTGCTGTTGATACGGATCCGGATCCTGGATCCGCACTGGAAAAAAATAGATCCGGATCCAGGCCATTTCTTTAAGATTTACGGAATTTTTTTAACAAAAAATAATTGATTTTTTGTTTTATTTCTATCCTAAAACTTGATGAACCATTCAAAAATTAGGAAATTTTTATAATCTCTTTTTTTCAAAAGTTCAGATTTGGGGTTTAGGAGTAAAAAAGTTGTTTTTGCAGTATTTGGTTAATATTTTACCCCTAGGATCCGGAACTGGATCCGGATCCAGGAAGCCAAAATCTCGCGGCTCCAAAAAACTCCGAACAAAATCCAACAAACTATTCCTTTGATTAATTTTAAAATTTAATAAATTAATCAATTTAACCAAAAGATTTATTTCTTTTCGGATCCTTTAATTATTATTGCAAATAAATAAAAAGTGCAAAGATTCAAAGTATCAATCAAAATGTAATCTTACTATCCATTCATTTAATTTTAGAACTTTCAAAAGATTGAAAATTAATTTATATACTCGATAATTTTCTATTAGCATTTCATATTTTCTAACCTTCTGATCTTCGGAATGATAATAAATCCCGCTTCTATACTGGGTTCCAACATCATTCCCTTGCCTACACATATATTTATTATAAAGGAACTGTATGGTAGATGTAATTTCAAGTCTAGTTCATTTTTAAAGTTTATGTCCAATTCACAACGGTACCCTAAACGGCTTTTGAGATGAAGAATGAATGAGATTTCCATGTATTTGCCTTAGAAAACTGATTATTTTCAATCGTGGATTTCCTCCAACAATACCACGTGCATTTATTATACAAGAAAAATGAAATAAATTGTCAGAATTGAACTTTGACTACAACGTTAGTCCATTACGGATATTTTAACAGATTAGGGGAATTATATCTCCGGGAAAAATGATTTTCAAAAGGGAGGGAGGGGAAATGAATTTTCAAGAAAATATACACCTATGGAATATATATAAATATCTACTAAGCGTAGTTGGATCCATCCTATCCATTGAACTGAACTGGGCTACTTGTAGAAGATATAAAAAACCTATTGAACGTGGTCAGATCTATCCTATCTATTGAACAATACTGGGCTACTTGTAGAATATTTATAAACACCTAATGATCGTTGTTGGATTTATCCTATCCATTCAACTAAATTGGACTACTTGTAGAATATATATATGAACACCTATTAAGCGCAGTTGGATCCATCCTATCGAAGAGTACTGTAAGGAGCTCCTTGTATGATACTGCTGCAGAATTAAATATCATCTGAACAGCTTCAGTATGTCCGGTCGAACCGGAGCAAACCTCCTGAACCAAAACTATTCATGACAAAATTATCAAAATAAATCCAGATTATTTTCAAAAGTGAAGGGACAAATAACTTCAAAAATTAACAACCAAACGGCAATTCTTTCCACTATTTTTGATGATTTTCAAATAAAATATACAACCCTTAAAGTTCCTTACAATTAGGATTATTTTCCAAATTTGAATATTAAGTTTCCTTGTATGTAGGATGCTCCTTACTTCCTCCAGTATACCCAACCATAGTGTGAAGAACACCTGAAAGTATTATTATTATAGTTTCTACAAAATGTACTAAATCTTTCCAAATATGAAAAAATATATCACTTCAACAAGTTGTTGGTTAATTCACTGTTGTAAAGGAATATTTAAAAGATGTAGCAAGTTTCTAGTACATTGGGGGACTGAATTAAGATTGTTAAGGGAAATAAGTACTTCATTCTTTATTTTGCGATAAAGTATTTACAAAGATAAAAATCTGATGAATTCTTTTAAAATTATAAATATGTTAAGGGAAATATGTACTTTATTCTTTATTTTGCTTATGAAGTATTTACATAGAAGATACAAATCTGATGAATTCTTTTATATTTATAAATACTCGGCACCTGGAATTGTGAGCTTGAAAAAAAAATATTTTGGCTGAAAAGTTATAAAACCACGAAAAGGAGAAACCCAAAATTCTATAACTCTATTACATTACAAGTTAAGAAAGTCGACAAAAGAATATTTCTAATGTACCTGGAACTCTCTGGAAGGCTAACTCCACCCCCCAGAAGCAACCAGCAGCAAAGGTCGCCTTCTCCCCCTCCTCCTTAGCTATCTTCATATCCTCCTCCTTCACCTTCTTGGTGATGATCTGGTTCACCTCCGGGGTCATAAATCCTGAGATCAAAAATTGTATACTTTTAATTTAATCTAAGTCTGTTCCCTTCCAGTCTGGTAGATTGCTGTCAAGCTTAAGTTCTTTGAATTATTTCTTATTTATCTCTTAACAAATTCCCATGATGTTTCCAGATTAATCTTTACCGAACATTTAAAGGTTTACACGCTCTGGATCTAAAGCTCACTCACGTGGCTAAAAAAGGGTTTTAGCTAGACAAACAAATTAAAAATATGAATGATTTTTTAAGATGACATTGGCCTACTCAAAAATATTTGTGAGGGCAAAATTTACGAATTTATTCTTTTCCTTCTTCTTAAATTGATAATTTTCAATCGAAGGTTTCCCATATTTCCTCATAAATTTGAAAAAAACGACAAAATCTTAATTTTTGTAAGAAAGGGTTAAAGGGTACGTGGACTGTTGGAGGGTCATTAGAACTTGACGTCGACAGTTCCTTTAATTGAATTCCAGGGTCCGGCAATATTACATATGTTTAAATTTTAAAATTTCTGTCTCTTGAATAATTATAATTAAGAAAATTTCAAGATAAACCTTTGACTGGTCCTGAACCCATGGCTGCACTCCAATTAAATATTCCAGAACACAACAATATCCTTAATTAGAGAAAATCATTTAGTTCAATAATTCCGAAATTGCAGAAAAAGAAAAGTTTTATACCTTGGAACTGATCTGTTCAAGAGAAGTGGCTTCATTAAACTTTCTTGACGTAGTTCTGAATAAAAAATAATTCATTAATATGAAAATAATGAACTTACGGCATAATCTTATAATATGAAATTTTATAAATTCGTTATTTTTTATTTTTATTCCAATTTCTACAATTTAACAAACCTAATTTTCGCCTTCGCTTAAAATACTCTCTGCATCAAATCTGAAAGAAGCTTTTGTATTTTAATTGTCATTTAGTATAGCTGAAAACCCAACCCAGCATTGCATTGCCTGAAAACTAGGCCCTAACTCAATTGTGTACATCATTCTTCATCGATTTTAGGTAGTTTTAATAAAAAAAAAGACGTGAATAAAGTTGGTCAAGTGGCCACAGCGCCGGGCCCCCTAGCCTATCCTAGCCGCGGCACACGGCCCCTTAGCCTGTCCTAACCGCGGCGCTCGGCCCCTTAACATTCCTAGCCACGACGCTCGGCCCCCTAGCCTGTCCTAGCCGCTGAGCTTGGCTCCCTAGAAGGTCCTGGCCGCAGCGCTCAGCCCTGAAAGTGTCTTAACCTAACCTAACGGGTCTGGGTAGTTTCCTAGTACTATCAATTTTGTAATGACCTAATTAGTATTTGTAATTAGCATTATTTAGCATTATGTACAAAATTGATAGGAGGGGGGGTCAAAAAATCGTATACTAGGACGATCCCCGTATATTGTTAAAATGTACATTTTAGAACCAAATATAGATTTTAAAAATAATTAACAATAATTATTTCAATTCTAATATCGATCTGATTTATACATACATATAGAGTAATATCTATGACATGATATCTAACCGACGAAATTAACAAAAAAGAATTATTCCCGTTCTCGTTTCAAACATCTAATCTACATTCTCTACAACACTTAAACTTGGTATCAACTAGTTGACTAATCTCAGTCTCTGATCTATTCGTAAAAGATTATCTTTATGAAACCGCAGGCAGCATCAACTTGGTTACGTAAATAAACATTTTGATAAGGTTTAAAAGAACCCGGCAAATGATCTTGGAACAGTCGTCTTCAAATGCAATTAATGAAATAAGGGTGGTGTACTTTTCGACCTACGCAAATCCGCTATATTTCACTTCTGACCTACGACAAATCCGCTATACTACACATCCGACCTACAAGCACGTGGTTGTACAGCTGCTAAATGGACTTGTGCCCCCAGCGCTCGGCCCCCTAGCCTGTCCTAGCCGCGGCGCTGGCGTAGGTTCGAAAGGTTATTCATGGTCTAAATTTGGGTTATTAAAAGAATTGTAACTTTTTCTTCACCTTAATTGTATACATGATAAAATGGTAAATTAATACAACTTCTCATAATTATACAGTTCTCTCCAAAATAAAATGGTAAGTATTGACTACTTTTCAAAATATACACTACAATGCTTCCCAAAATAAAATAATAATAATTGAAAACTTCTCAAAAATATACAGTGCTCCCCAAAATAAAATAATAAGCGTTGAAAACTTCTCTTAAATATACAGT